ACAAAATCATGCCTCTAAATGCCCACCCACCTACCCATCTACCCCATAGATACAGAAAACCCCAACTTTTTTTGTATTTTTTGACATTGTCTTTTTTGACTGATTTCCATACTTTCCCTACGTTATGTTATGTATAATAGCGAGGAAAGTAATTAGGCATTTTGTAAAAATCATATCTCAAAAATATTCAGAAAACAACAATATATCCATTCAGCACATACAGTAACATCATCTAACACAATAATTTGCCTTCTGTCTTTCTAAACTGTTTCTAAAAAAATTCAGCGTTCCAGCTATAAACATCAATGGTTATTTTTATTACTTCCCTTTCAGCTCTTTCTCCTATCCCACTTCTTATACTCATAATATCCCTTTTTTCTCTCAGTCATCTATTTCCATGCATTCAATAAACTATAACAATCATTACTAATAACAGTTCTTTTTAAACCTTCTTTATAAATCCATGTCTTTTCTGTCCACTCAGTATTTTCTTTATCTTTTAACTCTTTTACTACCATATATATCCTCTCACTTAACACATATAGATTTTCCTTAATAAAATATATATTATGTCTTAATAAATCTTTCATTCTTTGACAGTTCTAACATTTTATAAATTTTAAATCATTTTAATAATAAAATTACAAAATAAAGTCTGTGGATTCTATGTAAGTTCCAAATTCAATTTTTTATTTTATGTACAGTACACAGTAATGCCTAAATAAGCAAGACATGACTGCTAGCAACAACAACAAAATATAACCCCAAAAAATAATATATATAGACTACAATAAAAACAAACAATTTGTATGTTCATTTTTTAAAAATCAGTCAGATTCATAAAATATTCTTTCCAACATAATTCAATTTGGAATACAATTTTTCACTTTTATTTTTAAATCAACTTCAACTAAGAATACAATTTTATACATTTGAAACTGTTCTATTAATTCTTATTCTAAATGTTTTTCATTTAAAATAAGTAATATTTAAAAAAAAACTGAAAGATTAGAACATTAAAAACATATTAATCAACTTGCTAAAATACATTATTTTAAACAGATACACTGAAAACACCTTATGTAGTTTTCCAGCAGTTAATTTTTAAAAAAACTAACAGAGATCATTTCAAACAGAATCTCTCTTCAAAACCTGATAAAGGCTTATTAATTAATCAAGCCAAAAATGTTACTTTTATTAAAAATTAACTGCTAGAAAACTACATAAGGTGTTTTCAGTGTTTCTGTTTACTGTGTAGTTCCAGCTTTGACTATTATTGATACATTATTTTAGAAAAAAAATTTAAACAAGTATATAAATAATTGGCTTAGTTTATTTATCAATAATTTAATATAAATATATTTATTACTCAAATATCACACATTTTTTTATATATAAAATATCATTTTTAATTAGAATAACATTTATTTCAAATTGGTATTTCCATTCTACATTCTTGTTTTGAATGCATAATAGAAAGTCAGAATTTTATTTCCATACTACTAACATCTTTACCTGTAATTCCAAATCTTAGAACAACCATTGCATTTAAGAATCTAGTTAAATCAATAAAAAATTATTCAGAAAAACTGCCCATATACACTAACTGAGAAAAAGTTATACACCCAGATAGAATTGGCCAATTACTGAAAAACTCAGCATAGCTCTGTGTCTCAGATAGGTACATAAATAATTACAGTTATGATCAGACTGTATGTCAGATAATGCCACCAGAGTAACTTAAAATATTTAACCAGCGTTTAAGCTGGAAATTTTTTCTTGTAGCAGTTTGGCTAATTTAAATAAAATGGAATGTTTGTCACTGATATAAATTCACTGCTTCTGACAGAAATATGTATAACTAAACAAAGTTGCAATATAGTATACTAAATCATTAGCTTAGAATTAAAATGCAAAAAATTAAGAATTTTTAATGCAAAAATGCAAAAATTTAAAATGCAAAAAATTAAGAATTTTTAATGATTATTACAGAAATAAAATATTTATTTATCAATTTCTGAAATTTTTAGCATAATATCACATTACAATCAGGAAAAACACTAAATGTGCTTCCTTATTTTACAACTGTTTCTGTTGTGACTGTAGTGTGTTTTCATAAACATCATGTTTTGACTTTCTGAGTCACTTGTCTAGGATGTCAGAAGTATATGGCACTTATTGCCTTACCATAACCATGGTCCTACCAAATCTCAGATTATATCCTTTCTTCTACCAGAGGACACTTAAGAGATGATGTGTGCACAATTATCTCTTTTAAACATCAGGAAACATCAGGAAAATATTCATTATTTGATGATGGAAAATAGAAATTTTTTAACCTCCTACATATAAAAAGCATGAGTACTTGAAATTATTCAGTCTTTTGAGATGTCTATTCTTTATTCCATAGAAACACACATTACAAGAGCATAAATTATGCCATATGTGTGTACAACAAAGCTGATGGAAACTGTATATACTGTAAACATAAAAAGAGGCAAATCTTGCATATGCTGATTAGCATTTTGCTTAATTTCACAATCTGTTTAAAACTCATCCATCTTGGTTTGTTTTGATGCCATTTTTCTACCTATTAAATACAACAACCATCTGATATTAATGTCATGTACAGTCTGTTTGTTTATGCTGAAACTCATCAGGAAGGTCTTTACAACTTGAAAAGACTCATTGGCCTTGCTAAATTTCAGCACTACACTTGGACCAGCATCAGAATGTTCACTAGTCTCCTACTCAATTATATCAGCCTGCTGACTCTCTTCATATAGTTCTTCAATTGTACATATCGCAGATGTAACAAGTGCATCATCAAACTCTACAAATTCCCAGAAACACCCAAATATTAACTAAGCAATCAAAAAACACAAAGTTTACAATAGATGAGACTAGAAGAAAAATCTGTTATTCCAAGTTAAATATCTGCTAAAAGGAGGTATAATTATATTGATTTGGCAGCACATGAGAAAATAATCCATTATTCTGAAAAATCTGTTGTTCTGCAATCTGTAATACAGTAGAATCTTGTTTTTACAACGTTATGTGTTAATAAACAAATTTGTATTAAAAATAATGTACAAATTGCACAGTACATTATTGTGTTAATAATGTACAAATTTGCATTAAAAATAAAAACTGCAAGGGCTTCCTGACACTCATAATTTACAAAGTTAAATTTTTGTGTAATGCCATCTCTTATGAGATTTTATTTTAAAANCTAATAAGAAATTTAATAGATTTTATAAATTTTTCACAATAATAAATTATAATAAACTTTAATTTAATTTTTACATCATTTGAAAATTTATGATGCAAATACTGTATTTACTCAAATAAAAGACAATCTTGCATATAGGACGAGGCGTGACTTCAAAGACCAAAATAAAGAAAATTAGATTTATTAATACAATTCTAATTTTATTTTGCTTGATAATAAATAAAATACCAAATGCATGCAAATGCACATAAATGCACATGTTGTCCCACAAAAATTACTGGCATTTTAAACTTTAAGGAAAAATCTTGTAAAATTGACAACGTAATTTGTTCATGTAAAACTGGACAATCGGGAACCTATTTTGGTCAATTCTTAACAGTCGAATCCACTCTTTGTTGATTATGCTTATGAGTTTCTTCGAATTCTGATTTCCAAATAATCATCTGTTTTCATGTGGGAATGAATTAAAACTTATATCGGGCTCCCGTGTAATTTTAGAATTCAATTCAAAAGTGTTGCTTTTCCTATTGCTATTCATATTTACTCCAGACAATACATAAAAACAATTCAAATGACCCAGATAAAATACTTTTGTTTTTAAACACGAGGGAAGAATTGAGAAAAAAATGCAAATACACAGTTTACAAAAATTACATAAAAACAAAAAGAAACCTTCGCTCGCACATATAGGACAACCTAGGTTTTTGAAGCAGTGAAAAATGGATAAAAATCTCATCTTATATGTGAGTGAATATGGTATTAAAATATCCTTAATAAAGAAAAACTTGCATATTTTATTTTTATGCTAATTTACACTTACCTAGCTTTATTACCTTCATCCATTAAATCATGAATATCTTGATATGAAGTTACAGCAAGTTTTGAAAGATCTTCAACATAAGGACCAAGTAAAGGATGTTCTCTAACACGAAGATTACTCTTGTTTTTAGGATTTAATAAGTCCCGCACACGTTCACAATATATTTCCATATAGCTTACCTAAGAAAAGTAAAATTTTATACAATATCACATTGCATTTACATATAAAATGCTCATTTAATTATAACTTCAAATNCTTGCATATAGGACGAGGCGTGACTTCAAAGACCAAAATAAAGAAAATTAGATTTATTAATACAATTCTAATTTTATTTTGCTTGATAATAAATAAAATACCAAATGCATGCAAATGCACATAAATGCACATGTTGTCCCACAAAAATTACTGGCATTTTAAACTTTAAGGAAAAATCTTGTAAAATTGACAACGTAATTTGTTCATGTAAAACTGGACAATCGGGAACCTATTTTGGTCAATTCTTAACAGTCGAATCCACTCTTTGTTGATTATGCTTATGAGTTTCTTCGAATTCTGATTTCCAAATAATCATCTGTTTTCATGTGGGAATGAATTAAAACTTATATCGGGCTCCCGTGTAATTTTAGAATTCAATTCAAAAGTGTTGCTTTTCCTATTGCTATTCATATTTACTCCAGACAATACATAAAAACAATTCAAATGACCCAGATAAAATACTTTTGTTTTTAAACACGAGGGAAGAATTGAGAAAAAAATGCAAATACACAGTTTACAAAAATTACATAAAAACAAAAAGAAACCTTCGCTCGCACATATAGGACAACCTAGGTTTTTGAAGCAGTGAAAAATGGATAAAAATCTCATCTTATATGTGAGTGAATATGGTATTAAAATATCCTTAATAAAGAAAAACTTGCATATTTTATTTTTATGCTAATTTACACTTACCTAGCTTTATTACCTTCATCCATTAAATCATGAATATCTTGATATGAAGTTACAGCAAGTTTTGAAAGATCTTCAACATAAGGACCAAGTAAAGGATGTTCTCTAACACGAAGATTACTCTTGTTTTTAGGATTTAATAAGTCCCGCACACGTTCACAATATATTTCCATATAGCTTACCTAAGAAAAGTAAAATTTTATACAATATCACATTGCATTTACATATAAAATGCTCATTTAATTATAACTTCAAATAAAATAATTTTAACTTTAAAAAAATGACACTTTCAAAATTTTATTAATTTTTTAGTTATTTCTAAAAGAAAGAAGAAGCCCTTGATAGGGAGAAATGGAAAAAACATATTAGAGAAGGAAATGCTGACCCATATAAACATGGGAAAAGGTGAGGATAAAGAAGATAAGTTATTTCTAAAATTAATAATTATATTAATAAAATATTATTATTAATATAATACAAATTTTGAAAAAATATAGTATTAAAACAGTTTTTGTTAATAATGGCCAAATTTTTTTTGAAAGTAATTAACTTCATCCATCCAAATCCAAAGCTTAAGAAGAAGCATTTTTTGGATCTTTATCCAGACTCAACTTCAACTCTTAGTATAATAAATACAACCAGCCTGATAATTACTTTAAATATCAAACAAACAGTTAGAACAGTTAGAATTAAGATTAAATAATTACCCAAGTAATTTAGATGTTAAAGTTAACAAGAAATGGCAGCCTAACTGCCTACCTCTTGCCAAATTTTTTGTTGTTAAGTTCCATCGAGTCGTCATCGACTCCTGATGACTTCATGGACAAGTCTTCTCCATCTTGATCTTTCCCTTGTTGTCTCTCGTAGCTCCTCCAACTTCATTTCTGTGACTTTCTTGATTTCTTCCATCCATCTTATCCGTTGCCTTTCCTCTTCCTTCTACCTTCCACTTTTCCCAGCATAATAGTCTTCTCTAGGGAAACTTCTTTATGCATCACATGTCCAAAGTAGGTCAATTTTTGTTTTAAGATTCTTGNCCAAACTTACTTCAACTGAATACATCATATCTTCATTTGTATTTCCATTATCTTGTATCCTATGAAATAAATCTTTACATATATGAGGTATAATTCCTTCTTGGCCTTCTTCTTGTCTACCCATCATGGTATAACTTTTTCCTGCACCAGTTTGTCCATAGGCAAATATGCAAACATTGTAGCTAGAAAGAAATAATTAATATGCAAAGATATTTTAAACATATTTCTAAAAATTTGTAATGTATAAATGTAAAAAATATGTTAAACATGAGACAGTGTAAATTCTTTAACTAAATTCTAAAAACTGGCAATTACAATTTATTCAGATCAACTTTTATAAAGTTAAAAGTTTTTGGATCAACATAATTATAAGTTCTGTATATCTTATAAATACTCACAAACATCTGTATTAGATCCAGCAGATAGCTATATTGTAAAAAAAAAAACAAATGTTTTCAATCATTTTCAGAGATCTTTGTCAGGTATAGTTATTTCCAGTTTTTAGTTATTATTATTCCCACAGTTAGTCCCACGTCAGTTTTTCATTTACTAACAAATAAAAAAGACTCTATAGACATCAGACAAATCCCAGGTATATATAAAATTCCATTACTGATGCCTTGACTACATTGGCTCAACTAATAGATAATTAATAACCAGAATCAGGGATCATGTGTATAACATCTCAAAAATGAATGTTAACACTGCTCTGGCCCAATTTGCAAGTATGTCTAGGGTGATGTGTAGCAGTTTAGCCATGTTGGGGCAAGGCTAAACTGCTACACATCATCTTCAATATACAATAGCTAAGAATAACAGAAGCTATCGAAATTTATAAAGCAATACTCAAGTTGTATTAACAGTAAAGAAAATATTAACCTTTTTAAATTTTTTTTAATATTTTCTTATCACAATTTTAACCTATCCTATCCTATCGTAAGTGTGGCAAACAATGTTATTTGCCTCCTACTGTATCAAACTTTAACACAATGCTGTAAATTTTATCACCTCAGTCACTAGTCATTAATATGTGTGTTACAACATTTAAAAATTTTCTTGGTCTATTATCTCCAATTGTATTATGGAAAGTTGAGTGTATATTTTTTTTAAATTTTTATTATATCAGATTTCATCATTAAGTTTGTCACATTTATCTTTAGAATATGAATATCACTATGTGCCATACAGAATGTTCCATTTTAAAAAGAGTGGTTCAAACAAGATCATTTGATTTATGGAAACATATAATAACCTGACAAAGATCTCTGAAAGTGATTGAAAACATTTGTTTTTTTACAATACAGCCATCTGCAGGAAGTAGTATGGAAGATGTCTGTGAGTATTTATATCATTTTCCAGCTTCTGAGGTGTTTTTTTTACTGTATATTTTATTCAGATATCTTTGTTAATATCAACTATATTATAAATAATATAAATTACAACTTTTACAGTAACTAAATATATATTCATAAAAATTTTAATACTAATACATTTGGCAATAGTTAATTTTTATTACAATCTAAATAATACATTTAAATTTTTTATCAACAAAAAACAGCTTATGATAATTGAAATTATGCAATGATAATTATATTATTTTACCTAAAAAAATATTTTAAGATAAAGTTTAATTCATTTTGTATACTTCTAAAATAAATATTAATTTAGCAGTTCTTTAAGGACATCAAATTTAGAAGATATCTTAAATTTACTACAAAATACAACCACTAGTTTATGAAAAATGCAACTGAAGAGTGCAATTATGGCTATGCTGGCTAAAATGTATCAAAAATTAGTTCTTAAAATCTGCAAGAATGAACCTAATTTCCCAACCAAGTATTGGAATATGTCGATATGGAGAATTCACCTCTTGTGTGAATGCAATTCTCTGCTCCTGAAATTGTGTCTAAAAAAGTAATCCCATAACATACTGCTGAAAATACATTCTAATGAGGCAGCTTATCAGCCTGGAGAATGATCTGAAAATTTTAATTCAGTGTGGTGCCATCTATTATAAAAAGATTTTTAATAAATTGCATATTATTAATTATTATAAATGGCAAAAATGCTTAATTTTTAGGATTGGAGTGAGTCATAAAAACTGTAAATGCTAATAATGAGTAAAATCATTAAGTCCAACTCTACTCAAGGGATAACAACTCCCCTCTATCTCTGCACTCCCTTGAATTTTAACTACTGAAATTTAATAGCATCAATCCTCTAATACACAAACCTCCCTACAGAATATCATAAAGTTTCACCAAAAAAGCACAAAAAGTTATTAAGCTTCAAAGTGGTTAAACAAAATCATGCCTCTAAATGCCCACCCACCTACCCATCTACCCCATAGATACAGAAAACCCCAACTTTTTTTGTATTTTTTGACATTGTCTTTTTTGACTGATTTCCATACTTTCCCTACGTTATGTTATGTATAATAGCGAGGAAAGTAATTAGGCATTTTGTAAAAATCATATCTCAAAAATATTCAGAAAACAACAATATATCCATTCAGCACATACAGTAACATCATCTAACACAATAATTTGCCTTCTGTCTTTCTAAACTGTTTCTAAAAAAATTCAGCGTTCCAGCTATAAACATCAATGGTTATTTTTATTACTTCCCTTTCAGCTCTTTCTCCTATCCCACTTCTTATACTCATAATATCCCTTTTTTCTCTCAGTCATCTATTTCCATGCATTCAATAAACTATAACAATCATTACTAATAACAGTTCTTTTTAAACCTTCTTTATAAATCCATGTCTTTTCTGTCCACTCAGTATTTTCTTTATCTTTTAACTCTTTTACTACCATATATATCCTCTCACTTAACACATATAGATTTTCCTTAATAAAATATATATTATGTCTTAATAAATCTTTCATTCTTTGACAGTTCTAACATTTTATAAATTTTAAATCATTTTAATAATAAAATTACAAAATAAAGTCTGTGGATTCTATGTAAGTTCCAAATTCAATTTTTTATTTTATGTACAGTACACAGTAATGCCTAAATAAGCAAGACATGACTGCTAGCAACAACAACAAAATATAACCCCAAAAAATAATATATATAGACTACAATAAAAACAAACAATTTGTATGTTCATTTTTTAAAAATCAGTCAGATTCATAAAATATTCTTTCCAACATAATTCAATTTGGAATACAATTTTTCACTTTTATTTTTAAATCAACTTCAACTAAGAATACAATTTTATACATTTGAAACTGTTCTATTAATTCTTATTCTAAATGTTTTTCATTTAAAATAAGTAATATTTAAAAAAAAAACTGAAAGATTAGAACATTAAAAACATATTAATCAACTTGCTAAAATACATTATTTTAAACAGATACACTGAAAACACCTTATGTAGTTTTCCAGCAGTTAATTTTTAAAAAAACTAACAGAGATCATTTCAAACAGAATCTCTCTTCAAAACCTGATAAAGGCTTATTAATTAATCAAGCCAAAAATGTTACTTTTATTAAAAATTAACTGCTAGAAAACTACATAAGGTGTTTTCAGTGTTTCTGTTTACTGTGTAGTTCCAGCTTTGACTATTATTGATACATTATTTTAGAAAAAAAATTTAAACAAGTATATAAATAATTGGCTTAGTTTATTTATCAATAATTTAATATAAATATATTTATTACTCAAATATCACACATTTTTTTATATATAAAATATCATTTTTAATTAGAATAACATTTATTTCAAATTGGTATTTCCATTCTACATTCTTGTTTTGAATGCATAATAGAAAGTCAGAATTTTATTTCCATACTACTAACATCTTTACCTGTAATTCCAAATCTTAGAACAACCATTGCATTTAAGAATCTAGTTAAATCAATAAAAAATTATTCAGAAAAACTGCCCATATACACTAACTGAGAAAAAGTTATGCACCCAGATAGAATTGGCCAATTACTGAAAAACTCAGCATAGCTCTGTGTCTCAGATAGGTACATAAATAATTACAGTTATGATCAGACTGTATGTCAGATAATGCCACCAGAGTAACTTAAAATATTTAACCAGCGTTTAAGCTGGAAATTTTTTCTTGTAGCAGTTTGGCTAATTTAAATAAAATGGAATGTTTGTCACTGATATAAATTCACTGCTTCTGACAGAAATATGTATAACTAAACAAAGTTGCAATATAGTATACTAAATCATTAGCTTAGAATTAAAATGCAAAAAATTAAGAATTTTTAATGCAAAAATGCAAAAATTTAAAATGCAAAAAATTAAGAATTTTTAATGATTATTACAGAAATAAAATATTTATTTATCAATTTCTGAAATTTTTAGCATAATATCACATTACAATCAGGAAAAACACTAAATGTGCTTCCTTATTTTACAACTGTTTCTGTTGTGACTGTAGTGTGTTTTCATAAACATCATGTTTTGACTTTCTGAGTCACTTGTCTAGGATGTCAGAAGTATATGGCACTTATTGCCTTACCATAACCATGGTCCTACCAAATCTCAGATTATATCCTTTCTTCTACCAGAGGACACTTAAGAGATGATGTGTGCACAATTATCTCTTTTAAACATCAGGAAACATCAGGAAAATATTCATTATTTGATGATGGAAAATAGAAATTTTTTAACCTCCTACATATAAAAAGCATGAGTACTTGAAATTATTCAGTCTTTTGAGATGTCTATTCTTTATTCCATAGAAACACACATTACAAGAGCATAAATTATGCCATATGTGTGTACAACAAAGCTGATGGAAACTGTATATACTGTAAACATAAAAAGAGGCAAATCTTGCATATGCTGATTAGCATTTTGCTTAATTTCACAATCTGTTTAAAACTCATCCATCTTGGTTTGTTTTGATGCCATTTTTCTACCTATTAAATACAACAACCATCTGATATTAATGTCATGTACAGTCTGTTTGTTTATGCTGAAACTCATCAGGAAGGTCTTTACAACTTGAAAAGACTCATTGGCCTTGCTAAATTTCAGCACTACACTTGGACCAGCATCAGAATGTTCACTAGTCTCCTACTCAATTATATCAGCCTGCTGACTCTCTTCATATAGTTCTTCAATTGTACATATCGCAGATGTAACAAGTGCATCATCAAACTCTACAAATTCCCAGAAACACCCAAATATTAACTAAGCAATCAAAAAA